ATTGTAATTTTTGCGTAAATAACGGACTAACCTATAAGGAATTATGCCCGTTCTTTATCAGCGAACAAATAAACGCCCCAACTATTAGAGAAATTGAGGAAATAAAGGCAAGAATAGGCAAAAGATTACGCGAATGACAAGAAAAGAAATAAACGAACATGACTAAAAACTTACAAGAAATCTTAAAAGATATACCAAATATAGAAATCTTAAAGGAATTAAAAAGACGGTTAGATATTAATATTAAAGATAATACGCTCACACCTACTCCCACGCGTGAGAGGAATAATGATAATGGTGTATTAGTTGGACGGATGAATAACAACCCCGCCAAAAGTGAATATAATTTAATGGGTAAGATATTAGGACTATACGAAAATCAACCTAAAAACCTCTTATCATTCGAACAAAAGGAGGTAATGGGATCGCAAGTTCTTTTTACCTTTATGGAAGTTCTTAAAGAATATACCGAGGGACTTAATTTTAATCAACGGGAACAAGAAAGGGTCCAGTTAACTTTTGATGCCAAGCGATTTAATTATAACCTAGAACCAATTAAAGAGAAGTTAAAGGCGGGGACAGTAATAAAAGTCTACGGGAGATTAAATAATACCATAAATCAAAAGACAGGCGGGAGGAGTTTTAGTGTTTATTCTTTTACTGACTTCCCCGAAAAGGTAATTAACTTTAATTCACGGGGACAACCACCCTAAAAATACTTAATAATTGAAAGTTCAATTGATAAAATTATAATATTATGTTTACTATTACTATTAACTTAAAATTAGAAAACTTAACTAAAAAAATGGAACAAGAACTAGAAAAAGAGTTTGCCGAATTAGAAAAAATTACTGGAAAAACCAAAGAATACCATTTTGAGGAGGCGTTGATTAATTACATACAAGATATAGAGGAAATTGAAGAGACTGAAAAACATATTAAAAAAAATAAAATGCCTTCTAACTATCACATTATACAAGCATTAATTATGTATATACAGGATGTAAAAAACGCGAGAGAAGTTGAAAGGCGTTTAAAAACCGAAACTAAATAATAAAAATTAGGACTTGATGAATAAAGCGAAAAAATGGGAAGTAATTTGGAAAAAGGAGGCGGAGGAGGATTGAGAAAGGATTAAACAGACAGACCCATCAGCCGCCAAAGAGATTAAGTGAGAAGTAGACAGACATTTAGCGACTAACCCCGAGAGAAACGGCGTAAAGATGAGAAAAGGCGAATGAAAAGAAAAAAATTGTTATCGTTATCGAGTAGGAAAATACCGCGTTATCTACAAATTTAAAAAAGAAGAGTTGACAATTCTAGTAATAATGGTGGATGAACGCAAATATAAACAAGATGATGATGTTTACGAGAGGAAACTACCCCGCACTACTTCTAAGGATTGGACTACTACCGAACGACCCAAGGCCCGAGATCTAAAAAGAAAGGTAGGAAAGTAGTATATTTTGAAGGTCTTACCACCGCCCTAATAATCTAACCATGGAACCACTACCCCCAATATACAAGTAGGCGTTTTATATTCGGCGGTTATTCTTTTTTTGGTTCTTTACTTCTTTTCTTAAAACTTTTTTAAGTAAAAAAGATTTTGGGGAAAGTAAAGAAAAAAGAAATTGATTTTCGTAGGAACTGCGATCCGTTAGATCGGAGTTCTAATTGAAAATCTGATTAATTTACTTTTTTTGATTATGACCCCAATTAGATTTTTTAAAGAAAAAAAGAACTTATGGAAAGGTTTTACAAGAACCCTTTTAAAAAAGATAAGTGCGAAAAATAGGAAATATGGCGGAAGTGATAACCATAGACCCAACAGGGGACAATATAACAGGCATTTTTACTTATTATGGGGGTTTATTGTTTGATTTTACCAGTTATCAGGAGAAAAAATGGACTTGACACCACAATTTTATAAGTTCATTCGTAAAAGAGAGAAAACCCCGACTTGTGATCTATGAGGATAACATAAGAATTAAGACTAGTAAAGGTTTTATTAACGATCATTATAGAAACTTGTTAAAAAGTATAGGAGGGATAGAACTAATACTTGAAACCCAACAAATACCCAGTAAAATTATTTATTCCAGTTTTACCAAGTATGCCGAACGGGAGGCCGAGAAAGGAAACATTGGCGGACTAGTAAGGATTAAGAAACCACGAGAGGAAGGAAAAGAAACAAGAGGGGCGAAAAAAAAGGCGTTTATTTGTTCGCTGATAAAGAACGGGCATAATTCCTTATAGGTTAGTCCGTTATTTACGCAAAAATTACAAT